ATTAATTAAGAACAAGTGGATACTAAACTTACACTTTCCAAGTCCAAACGGGGAAAAATAAACTTTAAAGACATTTTTTAAAGTAGTGTTTTGGTGATTTCGCTCAATATCAGCATTTCACACCATTTACCTGATTCTGTATTGCAGTGAACGTGTACGTTAAGGTGTTCACAAACAGCCCGTTTCTGGTCTGTATGGATTTGGCCCTTTCTCAAGAAAAAATAATAGATCCCAAGTATTTGTGGACTGGTCCAGATGGAAAAGATTTAGAAGGTTAGTCTCTTTGTTCAGACTTAAAAAAAAAATAAAAATCATGTGTTTTCCTTGTTTCTGTTCACACCACCCTGCAACAGGAGGCGGGTCCAAGTGCTCCCATGGCCCTTTGCCAGATTTTTCCACAAGCTCTGACATTAAATTCTATTTCTCTGCTCCCTCTAAAGATTCCACATGCTTGAGACTAGAAAAAAAAAGCTTGCAGTAAATCATAAAGGTCATAGATTTTAGATCATTTCAGGCTAACACAAATCAGTATCATTGCATACAGGAACAAGATTTCAGCTTCAAACATTCTAAATGCACCAGAAAGTGAACTTTGCCAGTAATCTAATACTTCTGTTTTAGGGCAAAGGTACATAAATGTGACAGAGACAGGGAAGCTGGTGGTGATGGGATTCAGGGAGTCGATGTCCGGCGCCTACACTTGCACTCTGTCCCACAAAATCATCGAAACCACAACACAAGAAGAAACAGAAATTGTTGAGGCCTATAAATTCATGGTTTATGGTAAGAGCCCCAAGTCAGGAGTAAGCACGTGGCTTTGGGCTGGTGGGTTTGGGACATGCACTCTTGAGTCAGCTCAGGCAAGGCTGACATTGTTCTGCCATCACTGGTGACTAAGTTTTATTTACTTAACTCCTTTTGAGCACTTCAGACACGAGGAACTCCGACAATCTGCCTGAGGCTGGGTCTGATCACACCCAGAGTTCACCCCCAAACCTCTCTCCTCCCAGCCTACAGGGAAGCAGACCATGCCTACCAGGTGTTTGTTCGCTTCACCACCATGCACTGCAAGCTGAGAACCAACGGCTTGTTCTTCGAGACGCTGAAGGAGATCCTGAACAGCACCATCGCCCACCTGACGTGTCGCATCACAAAGTCGTCCTACAAGTGCCACTCCATCAGGACACCAAAGCACGGCCTCCAGCACGAGCTCTTTGTTAGTTTTCAAGGTAAACCGACTTCACTGCTTGTTTGGGAGGGATCCTTTGCTTTTATAAGCAACCCGCGTGTACTACAAACAACATCTGAAACGCAGCAGTCAGGAACACCTCTGAAAGTTATTTCCTCTCTAGGGTTTTTTTGGGTTTTCTTTTTTCCTGGAGTACCTGTGTTTTTTTTCACTGCCCACAGATGGAGCTAAAACGCAGTTTTTATGTAAAATTTGTAGGGTTGTACTTACAGACTTAGCAAGAAGGGTTATTTCGGAGGCGTGCAGATGGAGAGGATTGTTGGAAGGAGACAAAAAAAACACCAGGACCTAATCTAGCTTTTCCCCTTTTTTCATGTGTTTTCATCCCCCCATCCACAGTTGATCCGTTTGCACCAGGATGGGAAGAAGTTTGCCACAAGATTCCTTACGACTGTGAAGATGTGACAAACCTGAGAGCCCAGCAGGTTCTGTGTCAGTCACCTCGTGTCTTCTCTGCCTCTTTAACACCCACCTCTGCCTCAGCTCCTGCAGATGTGACTGGTAGTAATCCATCTTCACCCAGATTTCACAGGATTAGGATTGTAAATGACAATTGACAGGTTTCAAACAATTCAGTTCAGGCTGGAAAATGGGTTTAGAAATCAAATTGATACAAATTGTTAAAGAACCAGTTTCAGAAACAAACAAACAAACAAACCCTCATTGTTTCCTTCATATTTACTCCTAATAAGGAATGATAGACTTCATGATTTATAATGTATTGAGTTTAGAGAACTGCATATTCAATCTTAAATTGCATTTCATTGAACAAATAATAAATTAAAAGTAAGTCTACCATAGCCAACTTCTAAAATCTGTTCTCTCTGGCTTGAAAACATTAAATCCTGGGTTCAGCCCACATCCTGGGTCTGATCCCAAGTCAGTGTTTGGGAATCAGGACTACAAAGGACTTATTGATATCTTGAAATCAACGCCAAACAATGGACTGCGTTTTCACTCTCCCAATATTCCCAAATTTTAGGCAACGGAGCGGATTGGGAAGTTTTTCCAGCAGCTGAGGTACATTCTGGAGCACGAGGCTGAGGTTGTCCCTACGATCCAGTACGTGGAGAACAGCTTCTCCGTGACTCCCATCGACAGCTGCCGGCCAGGTTTTGGGAAGAACCATCACACCCACCAGAACTGCGCCAGCTGCTGCGGTAAACACCAAACACCGCGGGGTAAAAATAGCTCACCGACTGCAACAGAGCTCATTAGTGCTGGTCACAGAGCTCTGGGGAGGAGCTGGGAAATATTGGGGTCACAAGCAGGGATATTTCTGTTCCTCCTCTGGGAAGACACTCACATTATAGATTTAGGATAACGATAGGGACAGGAAACGAGCTGGTGGAGCGTGTCAGTGAGCTCACAGCATTTAGCAGCAAAGGAGAAGGAGTGAAGTGGAGTTTCCCCTGGTGAGTGACTATCCTCAGGATCCAGAGCACATGAGAAACAACTCCCTTCATGGAAGTCAGTAGGAAACTCCCTGGTGGTTTTCAAAGTGCTTTTGCAGCACCTGCTGCAGGTTAAGTTGAGGGGGGATTTAGCCAGAGGCTCAAGGAGCTCACACAGGGCCTTGGGAAGGCTGTCTAACAGCCCCCCCACATGTGGGGAGCTGCTGGAACCCCAACTGTGTTCTCTCCACAGTGGTTTGTGGTCCTGGAACTTACAGCCCCAACAACGAGGTGACATGTTGGACCTGTGCGAGGCCTCGGGTCAGGATGTACGGAGCGAAATCCTGCTAATTAACGGGCAAGCTGGAAAACCAACGAGCAGCTGTGAGAGAATCCTTGCTGTTGTGGTGTCCTTCTCATTTTAGCTGCCAGTTATGGAATCCTCCATCCCTTTTGGGACAAAAAAAGCCATCCTTTTTCATGCACTTTGTATTCTGGGACCCCTTAGACTGGAAAAATGCTGCATAAAATGCAGCGTTCAGGCAAGGAAAAGTAATTCAAGAGGGAAAGAGAGGAAGTTTGTCACGTGGCTCAGTGCAGAGGCTGTTTCCTGGTGGTGACACCAGACACGCCACGGCTTTGTGCTGCTCAGAGAACACAAAGGAGCTGCAAAGGATTCCAGGAAGGATGGCAGGTGGCTGTGGTGGAGTTATGTGCCAGGCTGGCATATGCCAAGATCTCCCTGAGCAGTTTCTAGCAGATATCAAGAGCAGTGTTTAATCTTTGAGATTTAAAAGCATTAAGTTTTCCTCCCATGTTTCTTTCTCTGTTTCTGAAATGTTCCAGCTGGGACACCGGAGTGGAAAGGGAAATAGAGTCCCTGAGACAGGAGAGAGGGTGAGTAACAAGTTATGAGGAGATTATGGCTATGGTTCTCTGCCTGTCCACTGCTCCCCAGAAAGAAGAGGGAACATCCCAGATGGAAGCAGAGTCTGCAGAGCCTCTTCCACCTCCTCCTGCTGCAGCAAACCCTCGGCAGGGCCCAGCTGGCCCCAGGTGCTGCAGGAGCAGATGATCCTCTCACGCCAGCTGTGAATTCCTGATGAGTTCACCGGATGACACGAATTGCCAAAGCACTGAGCTAATGGGAACGTTTTCTTCCCAGCAAAGCCTCCCCCTGATCCGCTGTGGAAGGTCGGCGGCTGGACCTGCAGCGATCCATCACCCTGCGAGGAACGGTGACCTGACCAACATCAGGAGCTTCACAAGTAACTCCAGCTGCTCCCCAGCCTGGGCCTTGGAGCTCACGGACTGTCTGAGCCTCCCATGGTGGAGCTCCCAGAACATGGGCTTTTAGAGCTCTTTTTTTTTAGCTGTTCCCTGTGGAAGTTTCTACCTTCCTGACTCTGTCGAGGGACACCAAAGAACTCTCACCCTCCACACACAGAGCCATGGAAATCCATGCCCAGCTTCCTAGTACAGAGCCATTCCTTGGTTTTTTTTCCCCTCCCCCACAAAGCAGGACGAAGTCAAGCAAAGGAAACACCTCCCACTCAACACCCCCAACTTCTTACAGCGTCTCGAAAACCCTTGGTGGGTATTCATCCAAAAACGGCCCCAACTCAACCCACTTTAACTTATCCACTGTGACAGGGACACAGCAGGAGACAGCATGGGCACAGACCCCGCTCCGAGCTTTTCAGAGTCATTACTTATTAAATGCTGAGCAATAAAGTGAGCTGTAACGAGCACTTCCATTGCCCTTGGGCTGATTATCCTCGCTGCCAACTGGACACCGTGCCTGGCTCGGGCTGGCACAGACGAAGCAGCCACTGCTGCCCCAGACTCTTGGCCTATTTCAGCAGGGAGGAAATGCCACATGCATCAGTCAGGGGGGCAAAAAGCTGCAGGTAGGTACCAAGAGCCATGGAGAGTCGTGAGGCCCTGGCACAGGTTGCCCAGGGAAGCTGTGGCTGCCCCAGCCCTGCAAGTGTCCAAGGCCAGGCTGGATGGGGGTTGGATAGTAGGAGATGTCCCTGTCCACGGCAGGGGATGTGACTGGATGGGCTTCAAGGTCCCTTCCCAGCCAAACCATTCCATGATTTTAAAAGTAGAAAAATAGGTCAAATGTTTCAGTATCACATTGCAAAAGAGTTTGGGCCAAAAATTCTGTGGAGAGCCATGAAAAAGTAAGAGGAAGTGGCTTCCCTTTGGCCTTCCCTGGATGAGATTCCCCTGCATCCAGCTGGAGCTCTGTGCCTGGGATAGCAGCTGGACCTTTTACTGCTCACACCACCCCTCACACCTCATCCCCTTGCCTGTCACACCTCAGGATTTACAGATCACTGATCAGCTCTCACCTCACCTTAGCTGTTCCCACCTCTCTCTGCCTCCCACAGCTACGGCAGCTCACAAGGAATTACGAGCTCCTTCCTCACTGCTTTAAATCCTCCTCAAATCCTCTTCTACCCTGGCCTCATGGCAGGAATTGTGGAAAGCTGGGCTGTCCCTGAGGCTCTTGGGGAGCTGGGGAAACCCCCCCTTACTCCTGGGGGGTTCAGCCCTTTGAACCCCACCTTGGACAGCTCCAACCCCACCCTGTGCCAAGGACCATCCCAACACCTCGGGAGTGCTGAGAAACCCTCCCAAATAACAGCTTTAGAACCTCCAAACTTCCCTTCCCCATCTCCACACAGGCCTCCGGGATCTCAGCATGTACTGACAGCACACGAGGGCTTTGAAACATCCACAAATCACGAAAATAACAGGGATAACGTGCCAGCTGGAAGCTGCAGCCCATTGTTTTCCCATCAGAGCTGCCTGGAACGACCCACTTGAGAAACACTTCAGGAACACGTGTTCAAGGACTCACTGCAGAGCTGGAGTGGTGATGGGCCACGTCCTCCGGGTGACAGTGACACCTCTGCTCCTTTCGGAAGGGTGTCTTGTAACTCCTTGCAGCAGATGATTATCCCACAGTCCAGGTCTCCTAAATTTAAGCCAGGAAGAGTCAGGAGGCCACAGAGCTGCCCAGGATACCCACAGGACACAGCTCATGGCCCCTGTTCAGCAGGTTTTAGGGACGGGCTGTGGGGAGGAGCCAGCCCAGGTTACCCGGGATTGGCACATCCCAGGAACTCATCACACCTCGGATGGGCGTGGTGCACCCCTGGCTAATCCATCCCCCAGGAATTCCCCCAAGGGCTCATCCAGGAGTCCCTTTGGTGGAAAATGGCTTGAAACAAAGCTTGTCTGAGAGTTGAGGGTGTCCCTTCTGTTCCCAGGAGCCCCCAGGTGACACTGCAGGTGCCACAGCCCCACGTTGGTTCCACAGGAGGATGGGCACGAGCCCAGCCCACGGATGCTGCCAGCCGTGCATCTCTCGAGGCAGGAAAAATACTTGGAAAGACAACTTTTCCCTCTGAGATGGAAAACTTTGATAGTCCTAAAATTTTATTAACAGGCCCAACCTTGCCTTAAAGGAACACGTGTTGGGAAATCATCCCCGGATGAGGGAGGAGAGGGAAATCCCCGGGGAGCCCGGAGGGGAGCGAGAGAGCTCTGAGCCGCAGGCACAGGAAGTACTGCTGTGATTTTTAGCTCTGCTTTGCTTTCCTACCCTCTGAAATTAAATTTCCTCCTGCCCAAGCCCAGTGACCGCATGTCCTGCCCGGCAGCTTCCCTGGAACCACCAGCACTGTGGGATTAAGGAGCTGCAGTGAACGAGGATGATTCATTATTGGCAGCAATGTGGCTGGAAATGGGTCTTTCTGGAGTGAAAATAAAGAAATAAAGGCCCCGAGTGAAAGGCCGGTGATGAAGTGTAGCCCGGCTCTAATCGCAGTGTAATCACTGCCATCACTCCTAATTATCGATAAACATTCTTCTAATTGTGGAAATTAAACAATTAGACATCCTTCCTTCCCTCTTGGAAATCTAATCAGCCCAAAGTTCAGGATGCAGCCTGGGGCTGCTGCTGCAGAACACGCTGCACTCGCAGGCTGGCAAAAACAGGGCTAATCCCAAAACCCTTCACCCCAAACATCCCCCAAAGCTCCCCCAGCCCTGGCCCCGCTGTTGGGAGGACAAATCCGTGGGCAGGGTGCTGGATATCCCGGAGGCTTCCCAGGAGCATCACTCTATCCCTGTATTCCCAGGGATTTCAGGGCCAGGCAGGCAAAGAGCCATCCCCAGCAGGAGGATTCGGGTCGCAGCTCTTGCCCCAGTGACACATTTCCCTCCATCCCGGAGAGGAGAGCAGGGAGCGGGCGGGCAGAGCTCCTTGGAAGTTAATAACGGAGATTTACCGGCGCGGGAACGCCGAGGAAGGAGGTCAGGCCGCTAATGCTCCTGCTGCTGATCCCTGCGGATAAATCCCCATCACGGAACGAGTTACCCGGAGAGGGGGATTAAAGGGGATGATTCTAATTCCTGGCTGAAGGAGGAGTGTTTTGAATGTGAGCCCCTCACATCCACCGATGCCGAGCACTGGCTCCCGCTCCCGGCAGGATCTGACCCACAGGACCTTTCTGTTGGAAAGAGGGGGATGAGAAAAATCCCTCCTTGGGATTTGAGCCTCTGTCAGGCTTCAGCCCCACACTCCCCCCACCCCAAGATCTCCCAACACCCGGGCTCAGCCCCAGGCACCTGAAAATATCCCTCTAATCCCAGTTTTCAGTTCTTCCTCATTTCTTGCCACACCTGATTAAGTATCTGACAGTACTGACAGTCTAAATCCAGGACAATTCCATCCCTCCCAGGCCGAGTTACTTTCCCAAAGCTTGCTGCAGACTTCTGTGAGGTTTCTTATATATTTTATCCCCCATACACCCACATGGACCAGCAGCTGTTCCACAACCAGCCAGACTCCTGGAATGCACCTCCTTTCCTCTGTGCTCGTCAGCGTGGGCTGTAACGAGCCCCATGGTTTCCATCCGAGTAATTCCACAGGCAGGATCTGGGAATTATCAGGCGCCGGAGCAGGGCCGGCCCTGGAGCACTTGGTGTCATCCAGCCCCGCGGGGGGACACCGGCAGTGCTCCAGGGAGATGAGGTGGCAGCCGGGGCCACATGTCCTGCGTGTCCCCCAGCCCTCCCCAGCTGCTCCCGGAGCCGCGGGAGGAGGGTCCCCAGGGAGGGACTGGAGCAGGGGACAGGAGCCATCTGCTCCAGAGCCCGGAGTCTGCGTCTGGAGACAGCGAGTGACAAACAGGGTTAATGTCCCGTGAGCGGGAGCTGTCACTCTGCGTTAGGGCCTGGCTTCCACCTTCCACAGCGTGGATCACACGGGGAGAGACACCAGCAAACCGGGACGGGGCTGTGACCGGAGAGGATGTTCTGGTGGGACTGTGGTGTTGGGAAGGGCTTATCTCTCCTGGTTGTCATGGTCCTGCCCCTGTGCTCTGCTCCAGTGAGGACAGGAGGGCAGGGAGCGGAGCGGGGCCCTGGGAAACAACCCCATGGATCCTGGGTGGCGCTGGGCCCGGCGCTGTGCCAGCGACCTGAGCCGAGCACAGGGTGTTCATTACTGAAGGCTGGGGCAGAGTTACCACGGGCACCGGGTGTCCTGTTTCTGCCAGCGCCAGCCCGGCAGGACATCGGCTGTCACCGGCACCTCCGTCCTTCCTGCGCGGCGTCACGGGGGCCCGGTGACCCACAGACACAGACACACCAGCACGAGCCAAAGGAGCAGCCGATTTATTGTCGTAGAAAGTGAGAATGTAAAAGGTCCCTTAAACCAAACGCAGATGGGTCAGATAGTCCCGGTGGCCCCCACACCACCCAGGGGGAGCAGCCTGGGGGGCCTCGAAGGGGTCACCCCCAGCCCCTTTCGTCCACAGCCGGTGGCAGAAGGAGCTGCTGTGGGGCTGAGGGGATGCCCGGATGGGAGCTGGGCCCGAGGTGTTTGTGCGTTGCAGAGCTGCTGGTCTGCGCTGGAATCAGGCACTTGTGGAAGGGTGCGGGCGCTGCTCCCGGCCGGCTCCGTCCCACGGCTCCCCATGGCACTGGGAGGACGGGCAGGGGCTGGGGCCGGAGCCCTGCCTGTGCCGAAACACGCTGCCCGCACCAGGGGCTGAGGCTGGGCCAGGTCTGGCCCGGTACAGAGGAGGTTCAAGCAGCTTTGGTTGGTGCTCTTGGTGAATTAAGGCAAATTATCTTCAGTTGGTTTAAAAAAAGGCCAAAACCAGCAAAAACCAGCTCTCCCAGGGGCCAGAGACAGGGGTGGAAGAGTCCTGGTCTGCTCTGGCTTTGCTCTGAGTCGCCACTTGGACCCTGCACACCTAAAGGCTGGCACTGACCCCCTCCTGTGCCAGCCCTGTGCCCAGCCTTGCCTCCACCACTGCCACAGAGAACCTGCAGCCCAATACTGGAAGTGTCCAGAAGGGACTCTGGAGCATTTTTAGGGGAGATTCAGGCACCTGCCAGTGGTGTGGGAGTGGGGAGAGGGCGGAGGAGCCGCAGCAGCTCCTTCCATCCCACTTCCCATCACAGTGACCGGTCGGCAGCTTGTGAGGTGGGAGCTCCCCTCCGGCAGCCGAGGGGAGCAGGGGGTGAGGGTGCTGCAAACACCCACCCATGTGGTCCCCGGGGAGCAGAGAGGGGAAACTCACTCCCCCCGATATCCCAGCAGGGCTGGACCCACTGCCTGGACCCCTCAGTTCCCCTCCCTCAGCACCCACACCCCTTGGTGGCCCCAGAGGGCTCTGCCCTGGGGAGCTCATTCCCCATTTGGTTCTCATTCCCCACATTCCAAGGGGGAAGGCTCTGGGTTTGCCCACCAGTGACCCCATCTCTGAGTGGGGACCCCCACGCCCCTCGCCCCACCTGGCCTGGGGGTGCTGGGAAGGGAGCAGGGAGCAACAGGAGCCAAAATGGGAGATGAAGTGGAACAACCCACACGAGAGCTGGAGCTGCCTCTGGCCTCTCCCAGCCGGGGTGTCCCCAGTTCCTGTCCCATCCTTTGGTCCCACTGGCTGCAGCCACAGCCTGTGACCCCCCAGGGTCGGTGACCCAGCAGGGCACTGCCCTCCCAGCCCCTCCTGCTCCTTCCCACTGCCCTCCCAGCAGGGAGCCAGGCCCAGGCCATCCCCTGAGGGATGGAAACACCGATTCCGTTAATGCCCCAGGGGATCTCTGCGAAGGAAATGTAAAAGTTTTACATGAAGTCCGAACGTCCAGGTCGGTCAGAGCCACGGCCACGTGCCAGGGGGATGCTCCAGGTCCTCCATAACATGGGAGGACGCTGTGGATGCTCTGTGCTCATTGTTGATATCCATCCCTGGCCACAGCCACCACAGCCAGGGACTCACCGGCAGCGACTCCCGCTGCCAGGAGGAGAACGGGGCAAACCCACGAGTGTCTCTGTGGGTGGCTGTGACACCTCCTGCAGCATGAGGAGCCCCCGGAGTGGCTGTTCCCATCCCTGTGCGTCCCCATGTCCCGCAGGGTGCCGGTGCTCACACCACAGTGCTGATGGTGGACGGTGCTCACACCACAGTGCTGATGGTGGACGACTCCTCCGAGCGCCGCTGCTTGCTGGGCAGCGACTTGAGATACTCCAGGTGCCTCCGGGCGTCCTCCTGGTTCTGCCGCACGTAGTACACCAGGTAGGAGATCACCATGGCGAACCAGCCGAACATGGTGACCAGCATGGCGATGTCCGTGGTCTTCTTGTACACGTTGCACAGGTCCGTGTCAGCGATGACCTGCAGGAAGGCTTTGCCCACGTGCTCCTCCTGCGCCGAGGAGTCGCAGACGATGCCGCCCGAGGAGCCGGCCACCAGCTCCACGGTGCGGACCAGCTCCTGCAGCCGGCAGTCGCACAGCCACGGGTTGTTGGACAGGTTCACCTTGGCCTTCAGGTTGCTGAAGGCGTCTTTGCTGACCGACACCAGCCTGTTGGAAGACAAGTCCAGGGAGCGCAGGTGCTCTGCCAGGCCCCGGAAAGCCCCGCTCTCCACGCTGGCGATGGCGTTGTGGGACAGATCCAGCTCCAGCAGCAGGGGCAGGTCCCGGAAGGCATCGCGGGGCAGGAAGGGGATGCGGTTGGAGTCCAGGTAGAGCTTGTTGGTGTCGTTGGGGATGTCTCTGGGGACCTCGGTCAGCCGAGCGTTGCTGCAGCGGAAGGTCTTCAGCCCCTCCTCCTCCGAGGGGTAGCAGCCCTTGGGGAAGGCGGTGGCAGGGTGGAGGAAGCAGCCCAGGAGGAGGAGGAGGAGGAGGAGGGGGCTCTGCAGGAGCAGCTCCATAGTGACCGGGCAGAGGAGGACCCGCTGTGCCGTAGGCATCGTGCTGTGCTGCCTTTGCTTTCCTCACATCCCCAGGGGGCTCGGCACATCTGAGAGGGGACAGCAAGGGGACAGCGTCAGGCCAAGGGGGACGGGGGCAGAACCATCCCTATGCTGGCTGTGGTTACTGCACCTGAGCCTGGCCAGGGGACCGGGACGGGGATGGGGACTGGGACACGGCTCACACATCCCCTCATCCCCGGCCAGCACCTCGCCCGGGGCTCCCGCGAGGCAGGATCGGGCCCCGGGGGCTGAGCACGTCTCCTGCGCCGGCAGCTGGGCTGTAACAACCGGAGACGCTCGGGCTAAGCCAGAGGCGGGGATGTGCTCCCGCCCTGCCAAGGTCACGGCGCTGCGATCGCTGCTCGCAGGAGGCCGATCCATCCTGCGGCGGCCGGAGGACGAACCAGCGAGAGCCCTGGCTCCGGGCGAGCGGCCGCTGCCGGCAGCCCCCGGGGAATGCCGTGGAAAACATGTGCGGGCAGCGGCTCAGCAGGTTCCCGCTCCCGGCTCCGCTCCCCGGCAGAGCCCGGGCACAGGAGGACACGCGCCGGGTTCTCTCCTTTCGAGGGGACTGGCACGGGTGGGTGCCGGGTGCCTCTGTCCCCTGCCCGCTGCAGTGGGGTCGGGCTGCCCACACCACCCTGTAACCGTGGGCCCCACACAGCCCCTGATTCCGGAGGGGAAAAACGTCAGCAGGAAAGAAACAAAAACAGAAAAAGGAAATTCACTGGAGCTGAGCGTGCAGTGAGTTCCCAGGGTGGTGGCAGCAGATAAGGGCCGTGTCCGAGGGCTCCGAGCGCTGCCCGGCTCTCCCAGCCCTGGCTCCCACCACGTCCAGGGGCCCCAGCCCGTCCCTGTGCCGGTGGAGCCCCGGAGGGAGGATCCAGGTGCTCTCCCGCCATCCCACAGTCAAAGACACCGCCTGTGGCACCCGCTCAGGCAGCTCAGTGCTGCGGGAGCCCCTTGCTGTGCCACCAGGCACCTCCTGGGCAAAGCTGCTGCAGGTCCCACCTCCCCCCGCTCCCCGGAGCGCCCCAACACCGGCAAACCCGTCTCGGGGTGTTGACTGGGGCTCCCCGGTGGGGGATAGAGGTGCCCACCCCAGGGTGGCCCCCAAAGCACAGCACCCCGAGCTCTGGGCACTGTCACCCAGCCCGGCCGTGCTGAAACACCCCAAGGTCACATCTGTGCAGAGCCGACCCCTGCGCTGACGGACCCGCGGGGGTCCTGAGAGGGTACCAGCGCTCAGAGCACCCCAGGGGCACCGGGACCCCACAGCCCCACACTGCAGCAGCCCCCCAGCTCTGCCGGAGGCAAACACGGGACAATCGCAGCCCCCCGGGACCCCCGTCCCGCTGCCCGGGAACCGCCGGACTAAGCCAGGACCTGGTGCCCGGGATGGAGCTGCATCATCCAAGGGACGGGGGCACCCCGCGGGTGGGATACGAACCAGGCACCGCAGCGCAGACGGGCGCTGCCAGCCCCTGCCCCACCGCGGGGTCCCCAGCCCGCAGCAGGGCGTGGGGGTCCCCAGCCCGACCCCGGGGGTCGCCGCCAGCCTCGGGGAGGGAGGATGAGGTACCGGGGGCGGTGCTGGCTCCGGGACCCGCCGTGCGCCTGGGGATGCCCGGGGATCCCCCCGGCCCGGGGGCGTCGCGGGCGAGGGAAGCCCCGGTGTTTCCCCGGGGGAAGCTCCGCTCGGCGCGGCGCTGCCGCCCCCCCCGCGCCGCCTCCCGCCCCGCCGGGGGTCCCGGTGCGGACTCACCTGCCTGTGCAGCCCCGGCGGCGGAGCGGCCCCGCGCCCCGGGCCGGAGCGGCCGCGCCCCGCGCAGCGCGGCGGGCCCGGAGCCGGCGGCGGCGGCGGGGCCGGTGGGCGGGATCCTCTGCCCGGGCCTCCCCGGGGCTCCCCGCCCCCGGCCCGCCCCGCCGGGGGGGCCGTACAGCGCCGAGCACCCCCGGCCCCGAGCCCGGAGCCTTCACAGTTCCTCGCCCCGCGGGAGAAGCGCTGCCCCGGGTCCCTAGACAGGGAGGGGCGGGGAACATACCGGGAGACCCGGCGAGGAGCTGCCAGGACCCCGGATCCCGGGGCAGTCGGTGTCAGAAGCTCTCGGGGTGTTCCACGCCCCCCCGCCCCGCCGCGTCCCCGCGAACTCCGGCGGGAGACCCCTCGACCCCGACCGACCCCCCCTCCGGGCGTTCGGCGCCCCCCGACTCTGCCCTCGCTGCCCCCGGGACCTTCTCGCCCCCTCCCCAGTTCCTCAGAGGGAGCAGGACCCCCCACTCCAACCCCGGCGGGGTCACGGTGCCTCCCCCGCCCCCGCCCGGCACCGGCATCGCTTACTCGGGGAAACCCGACCTGTGGCGGCGGCACCGGGGGGGGGGGCGAGAGCCGGGGGGGCCGGAGCGGGTCCCCAGGCCAGCCCTGGGCTGCCCGGGCCGGGACTCGCTGGGCTGGGCCGGGGCTCGTGGTCCCGCCGCCCCGGGGCACCGGCGGGGCCGGCTCAGGACCATGGAGAGCGGCCGCCGTTACCGGGCCCCGGGGCCGCCGGCCGGGACGCGGCTGCCGCTGCCCCGGCCCCGAACAGTGACGTTCTCCCGCTGCTTCGGGAGGATAAACCGGTTAGGAAGCGCCTGGCCTGGATCTCGGCTCAATTAGGGAAAGGGAACCTGACGGCAGCCAGACACGGCCGCGGGCAGATGATCCCCAGAGCCCCCCGCCCTCCGCCAGGGCCATCGCGGGGGCTGCGACCCTGGAACCGTTCAGAAAACGTGTGGATGTGGCATCTGAGGTCACGGGTTAGTGGTGAAGGTGACAGTGCCGGGTTAGGGTTGGAGTCGATGATCTTGGAGGTCGTTATGATGATTCCACGACCGGAGCCAAACCCAACGCTGGAGCGGTGCCGGGCTCGCCGGGCAAGGCTGTCCCGGGGCACTGCTGAAGCCTGGCAGGCAGCAGTCGGCAACCACGGTCGGTGCTCTCAGGCACTTCGCTGGCAGCTCCCCGTTCCACTGGGGAGCAGAGCAGCCCCGTGCTGCCTGTCACCATTCCCAGTGCCACCGGGAGCCGTGCTGCGATGTGGCAGCACAGGGGCAGCTCCAGTGAACAGACATGACCATAGGACAGGGCTGAGGGGACAGGCAGGGGTCGGGGGGCTTGAGCTGGGACTCAGAAAAGGAGGGGGTGACTCCAGCTGCAGGTCACACCCAGGAGCAGGAGCAGCTCCACGCGGAGGGGTCCCACGTGGAGGACACGGCACCCACCAGCCCAAATCCTGCAGTGCAGCACGACCCACACGGACCCTCCCCACTGCAGGATGGCTAAAAATAGCCAGAACCGGCTCCTCGCTGCCACCATGGAGCTAAATATAACCAACATCGACCGGGAAGCGGGACCAGCAGCCGGGAGAGCGGGAGCTGAGCACGGCCCGGCACCGGGAGCGAACGAGCAAGGCCTGGGAATCCACACGGGAACAGCCCCCCCGAGCTCAAGGGGAATGTGGGTGTAGCTGCCGGTGAGCGGGTGGGATCAGATACCCCTGGGAACCCCCTGCCCCCGGTGCCAGCGTTCCCTGGGCAGGTGGACGCGGTGTGGGGAGCCCGGGGAGCGGGTCCCCCCTGAGCTCACACCGGCAGCAGCGGCTGCTGCATCACGGAGAGGGATGAATATTTATGGGCGTTTAAAAATAGCTGCTGCATTGTGCTTCCCCCTCACGTGCGGAGCCAGCGGGGTGCGGGGAAGCTGCTAAATTAGATGTCACCGCGCAGGGAGCTGCTCAGTCAGGCAGGAGTGGGATAAAAATAGAGCCTGCTGTGCGTGCGTGGATCTCCTGCAAAGCAGGGCCGGATCCCGTGGGATCCCCTGCCTCTGCACGCCGGCAATCCCCACACCGTGCCCTGCCATGAGGACACCCCGGAGGAGCCGGGCAGGGAGAGGCCTCTCCAGGGTGGCAGCCACCACACCCACCACTGGCCCTTCATCTGCTTCACCCACGTGTGTGTGTCCCTCCGTGCCCAAAGGCCTCTGGAAGCAGACGCTGCCAAGCCCTGGCTCTGGGAAGTGACCTCGTGCCCTGCTGGCAGCGCGGTGCCAGGGTGTGACACCGCGGCAGCCCCGGCCCTGGCAGCTGGCAGGGTCTCCGTGCCCTCGCCATGCCGAGAGCTGGCTGTGCGGCTGGGGGGGCTCTGAGTGGCACGAGCAGAGCCATATGTGCAGGGTGGGCAGCCTCCACTGCCAGGGCTCAGCTTGAGGGCTCGGCCTGGGACCCCAGCGCGGCTCCGGGCAGGGGATTTGCAGCCTGCAGTGGCCCCGGTGCTGGCAGAGCCGGCACACACAGAGCCCTGCACAGATGGCTGAGGCCCCAGCGGGCCGTGCCAGCCCAACGCGACGAGCTCTGATGGTTGTGCAAACAAAAGCGGGGCCAGATGGTCTCCCCCCCGCGCTCCAGCGCTGGAATCCTGCGCTCGCTCCCAGCCCCGACCTTGGTCGGGTGTCCTGCAGCGCTGCCGGCCTGCACAGCACCGCTGCCGGGATTTTCATGGAGTCACGGAATCAGAGCGGTTTAGGTGGGAAGGGACCCTAAAGATCATTGAGTTCCAACCCCCTGCCATGGGCAGCGACACCTTCCACTATCCCAGGTTGCTCCGAGCCTCGTCCAACCAGGCCTCGAGCACTCCCAGGGATGGGGCAGCCACAGCTGCTCCAGCGTGGCTGGAGGAAGCTGCTCCGGTGCCCCCCCTACCCTTTGTTTGAGGGGGTGTTTGCCCACCCTCCCCGGGCACCCAGCCGGGTCTGGGGCTCCACGTCCGGTGCTGCCCCTCCAGCCGCTCTCCCGGCGCCGCTCCCGCCGGTTCCCGCGGCGGCCCCGCCTCTGCCGGCGCTGCCGGACTACAGCTCCCGGCGTGCCGCGGCGGGGCGGGCCGAGGGGCCGCCGGGAGCGCACCGGGAGCGCAGCGGGAGAGCGGCGGAGCGAGCGCCGGCCCCGCCGAGCCGAGCCGGGCCGGGCCGTGCGGGAGCGGTGAGTGCGGGCCGGGGGCGCGGGCCGGGGGCTCAGCCCTCCCTGCGGGCCGTGGGGGGGGGGGGGGGGGGGCCGAGCCCCGCGGCGGGGCCGTGGGGAAGTGCCTCGCGTGGGCCCGGCCCGGGAGGAAAACACCCCGAAAGAGAGAAACGGGTGCTGGGAGGGAGCTGGGAGAGTGGGGGGTCCCCCCGGCGGGGGTCGCGCTGTGCACGGCCCGGCCCCGAGCGGGTCCTGCCGCAGCCCCCCCCGGGGCACCGGCCCGGCCTGGGGAAACGGGGAGGGAAGAGGAGTCCGGGACCAGGAGGAGCCCAGCCTCGGCCTTCCCTGCGGGTCCGGGATTCCCCGTTAAATCCGGGAGAACAGGCTGAGACGGGCAGAGCCCTCTCCCTCGGTCGGGGCGGCTCATCCGTGTCCTCGTCCGTGTGTCCCCCCGCCCCGGGCTCTGCCAGCCCCGGATTCCGAGGAAGCTCCGGGCAGCGCTGGGGCTCAGACGAGTCCAACACGGCTCCGGGGTGTTGAGTTCCCAATCCCAGTCAGCAGCTGCCTCCCAGCACAGCCCAGTTCACCAGTGCCCTCTGGTTCAAACTCCGATGCCATCAGCAAAGTAGGGTTTAAAGGATTTGCTGGGGAGATGGGGATTGCTGTTGCTGCCAGAGATCAGGATCTGATCCGTGGGATCATCCCCACCAGCAGCCTGGGAACACTGGGGAGATCAAGAGCTGAGCCCTCCTTCCCTCTCCAGCCCAGGTGAAGGTCCTACAGTGGAGTGCCAGGATCAGAACGTGATCCTGCAATCCCTGGGGAAGGGTGACACCCCTGCCGAGTCATGGGATCGTTTATTTGGGTTGGAAAGGGCCTTTAAGATCATTAAGTCTGAGTGTTAAGCAAGGGAATGGGAACATACGGTGGTCACACTCCTCTGGGGGCAAAGGTGGGGTAGGAGCTGCACCTGGACAGGGAGCAGGACACGGGAAAGACGGAGCGGAGGGAGGGCTCGGCTCTGGCATCGCGCTGTGCCCTTTGCCACTGGCCACAGCTCCGACTTTTCCCCTCCTTGGATGGCCACTGTCCAATGTCAGCACAGCCCCGACCTTCACCCTCTGCCTGGTGCAACAGTCAGGCTTTTCTGTCCCAAAAAAGAGTGGGAAAGCAGAGCCTGGCAGCAGCTGCTCCGGGAAGGAGGGGCTGGAGTCCTTCCCATGGGGGGCTGTGCCTTGTTTTCCTGCAGGTGAACAAATCCTGCTGTGGAAACAGAAAGCAAACATGGGATGAGGGATGGGGGTAGGGAGGGAGCTCTGGGAGCTCATGTGCCCTCAGCCAGGCTTGTGCAATCCGAAATTTGGGAGAACTGGGGCAAGGGCTGCACAGCCCAGGGCAGAGCTGGAAAGATCTGCAGGTGAAATGTTTAAGGTGGGGAAGGGCAGAGTTGGAGACACGGAATCGCCCTCATGGAGCACTGAATGCTTGGCATCTCCTTATCTCCTGCAAGGATGAGTTCACCTCTCCTGTGTTCCAGCATTCCACCCCTGTATTCCTTCATTTTACGAGGAAGGGAAGCTGAGGCAGGAAGAGAGGAATTATTCACACACAGCTTCCAAGTTGGGCCCTTCCCACCCCGCTGTGGGTCTGCAACTGCCCTCGTTGGCAGAAGGGACCAAGTCCAATTTGGTCCTTAGTTTTTGGAAGTTACACTAATGGTTGGAAATAAAGGCATTGCTTCAGGAGAGGCTCCTGGGCAACCAAGGAGGAATCTGAGGTTTCTAACCCTTGATGAAAGTAGATTTTAAGGCCTCCATTGAGATCACACAACCCCTTTTCATGGGCAGTCCCCTCCAGCGTCCCTCCTCCTGCACCTCCGTGTCACTCCAGGCCCCAGCCGTGTGGCTGTGGTTCCTGCTGCTGCACAGCTGGAATCCCACAGGCACAGCTGGAATCCCACAGGCACAGCTCTTAGTGGAGAGTCGGACTGTTCCTCACGCCTCTCTCCAGCCTCCTCCAGACTAAACAAACCCGTTTCCTTCCAGCTGTCCTTGCAGGTCATGTTTTTCCTACACCTCTGCTCGTTCTCTCTGCTCTCTCTGGATGCTCTCCAGCTCCTCCCAGGACTGGACAGTGTTCTCCCAACATCCAGGAGAACTGTTTCCCATGTCTGGCACTCAGCACTCCTGTTTACACATTCCACGGGGTGTTTTGCTTTTCGTTGTTGTTGTAACAATCTGAGTCTTTTTGACTCATTTATGCTTTACCACAACCCCCAGTTTTCCTTCTGAGAGCCCCTTGGGGATTGCAGCAGGTTCAGGCTGGGAGCTGTTCCCCATGCCAGGGGTGAAGTGCTGAGCTCTGGCTCCCAGCCTTGCTTCCAGACCACACTCCGGGCTGTTGTCAGGAATATCCCCAAACCAGTTTTCCAGGAGATGAGCAGCAAGGAAACGAGCACCCTGCAGAGCTGCAACCTCTTCCCTGGGAACAAAATCCCTCCCCAGAGATGAGCCCCCTCACAGAGGGACGTGAGGATCTGCAGCAGCGGCCTCCTGTGCGCTTGGAGGAGGTTTGGAAGTTGCGTGGAGCATCCCAGGAGCTGTGGAGTGGAGCTTGGCTCTGAGCCCCAGCCCTGGGCCAGCTCCTGAGGCAAGCCAGGCCTGGTGCTCCAGGAGGGAGGTGGGAACAGCTGGCAGTGAGGAGAGTGTGGTGTTGGAGCTGGCTTAGCCCCAGAGAGCAACACAACTCCCAGCTGTGGGAACCAACGGCAGAGCCACCAGGCCAGACGGCAGGAAACGGCCCTCGCCGTGGGGTCCCGGATCCAAGGAGGGATCATCCCATCAAACTCCGCTTCCATGGGACACACAGAGATGATTTTACACGAGAATTTCCCTGATCTCGGTGTGAAGACTTTCAGCTTTACAGTGGGTTTAGTTTGTGCTGTTCCCTGTAATCCCAGGAAACCAGTAAACCAGAGCTGTGCTGCTCCCAGCCAGCCTTGGGAGCTGATGGATACCTGCTGCCACCGGCACTGTCAGTCCAAAAGCCCACTCAACGCCTTCACTGTCTGTGGGACACCACTCCAAGGACTTGCTCCTAAAGGGTGACACTCTCTTGCTTCCTCTCCTTCCTGGCATTGTCCAGAAAACCATCTCTGTGCTCCTCCTACATGGCAGCTGTTCTTTCCAGGTAGGGGAAGAGCCACCTCCTCCACAGCTCTTCCTCCTGAAATATCCTCCCAAGGCACTTTGCCCTGTTATCTCTCCCTTTTTACATTCCTCCAGAAGAATCTCATTCCTTCCCTGGGGGGAAATTGTTTTGTTCCTCTTTTTTCCCCTCTCTGTAAGTCTTAAATCCAAAGGCAAAGCAAGTGAGGCAGAGCGGGAGTCCAGCAAACCTCCGGGGCTGTGCAGAACCCTGTTAATTTAGTTAAATTAATAAGGAGATCTTTTGATAAGAGCCTTTCCTCAGCAAATAACTGTGTTCTCTCCCCAAGTTTAAGGCCCTGCTGACTCCATAAACAGGCAGGAAGCTTCCTGTGCCTCGTGTTTCCATGATTAACACCGTGACGAGGATTGAGACGTGCTTTAAAATACTGGTTTAAGTCTCTGTCAGGCAAACGTGGGATCGAACCTCGACACCTTGGCTGCGGGAAAACGTCTCAAATCACAAGCAGCTTCTGTCACAGCCGGGCTTCCCACACATTATTCCCAAATCTGAACCACTCCCGGATTCGGCGGCGACGACGTCAGCTCTGGGAGCGGCAGTGGCGAGGGGCAGAGGAGGGAGCTGCCGTGGGATTTTTATTGCAGGCGGCAGATTTGGGGTTTGCCTGACAAGCAGCCGCTGCTCAGAGAGCTTTGGGGCCGCGCTCTGACCTCGCTCTGTGTGTGTGTGTGTGTGTGTGTTTGCAGGGGCTCCCGTGGCACACGAGGGCAGGATGAACGTGGGGACGGCGCACAGCGAGGTGAACCCCAACACGCGCGTCATGAACAGCCGCGGCATCTGGCTGTCCTACGTGCTGGGCATCGGGCTGCTGCACGTCGTGCTGCTCAGCATCCCCTTCTTCAGCGTGCCCGTGGTCTGGACCCTCACCAACATCATCCACAACCTGGTAAGGGGGCGCGGAGCGGCCCAGGGAGCCTCTGAGCAGCCTGCTGAGATCCCTGTTGGAATGGCTCCGGCTCCTTCCTGTTTCCAAAGGTGCCGGGGGAGTTGCTCAACCTGCAGCCCTCAGCCTGCACCGGTGCCTCTGGGTCATGGATTTAAATCCAGCCCAGGTGCAGGTGAGGCAGCAACACCTCGTGAGGCTGCTCAGAGGGGATTTATTTGCCTTCAGGGCAAGTCCTTCTTTGTGTCCCCGGAGGAGTCTGGGACAGGCCCCAGACCCTGCCAGGGTGTCACTTGAGTTGGTAAAACCTGAACTGGCCTCGTCAGGGTTAAGGAAACAAGATCAAACCCCAGAGGTTTTTCTGCCTAAAGTAAAAGGTTAGTCCAGGAACCGATTCCCCTCTCTAAGGATCAGGTCCCTAAACAGGTCCTCACAGGCGCAGGGGACAAAACGCTTCACAGATGCAGCAGTTGATTCTGTATCCTTAATTTTAAATAGCATCTCAGCCTAGGAATTTTCCAAAAGCAAAACCTACACAGACTGGGGACCCTCATGCTGAAGTTATTCCTAGTGGGGGATAAAATCAACCCCAGACCCCCAAACTGGAGCTGCTCTGGGTATAAAACCTCCACAAACCCCCACACTCGAGCCGCCCAGCGCTCGGCTGTCGAGCGGCCGGCTCCTCATCCCCCTTCTCTGGCAGCTTTAGGTCGTGGGAACAAAAAGGAATTGAAGTGCCAGGAGTGTGTGTCCTTAGGAGCTGTGATGCAGCCAGACACTGTTTGTCTGTGACTTGTGTCCCCTTGGTAATCGGGGGGGTGACAGACCCTGTCCCAGCACGTTTTCCGGAGGTTTCTGCCGCACCACGGCAGGCGGGCGCTAATCTCCCGATCCCAGAGATCCCAGGGCTGTAATCTCGCCACCACCTCCTTGGCTCACGCCCAGCAGCCCAGCGAGAGGCCCCACGTGGAGCAGCCGAGCTGCCCCGGCCTCTCCCGGCTCTCCTTCCCCTGCTTCCAAATCCGCTCCCGGTTTTCCAGCAGCACCACATCCCTCTAGTGGAACGGCGAGGGGCTGCACGCTCCGAGTGTGCTCCCCTGGCTGGGATTCTGGGATGCAGGGCCCTCACTCACGCTGTGCGTCCTGCAGAGCATGTACATCTTCCTGCACACCGTGAAGGGAACCCCCTTCGAGACCCCGGACCAGGGCAAGGCCCGGCTGCTGACGCACTGGGAGCAGATGGATTACGGAGTCCAGTTCACCGCCTCCCGCAAGTTCCTCACCATCATGCCCATCGTCCTGTGAGTATTCCAGGGTGGCCCAGCGGCCTCGTGTCCCAGTACCCACCAGTGTTCTGTCCCGGGACACAGACACGTGGAATGCCGCAGCTCAGTTTGACCTCTCCCTCTCTGTTCCCACCCTTCTTTTCCAGGTATTTTCTAACCAGCTTTTACACCAAGTACGACCGGATACACTTCATCATCAACACCATCTCCCTCATGAGCGTGCTGATCCCCAAACTGCCTCAGCTCCACGGAGTCCGGATCTTTGGAATCAACAAGTACTGAGCGGCGTGGCTGGAGCGGGCGGCGGAGGAGTGGGGAAAGGGGGAATTCCTTCTCCCCAGCCCTGTTTGCTCCCCCTCGCGCGGACTGGGATGTGATTTTCGGAGCGGCTGTTCCAACGCAGGTCCCAACAGACACATTCCGCATGCTGGATCCTCGTGCCCAATAAATCCAAACCAGCTCCAGAGTAGAGTTTAGTGCGGAGCAGGACACGCGACACCGGATTTCTCTTATCCCGGTGTCACCAATAGATGCAGAACCACTGAGACCTGGAGGTACAACGAGGACGGATTCTGGGAGGAATCTCATCTGTCCCAGACATGGAATGAACAAGGACAGGGGTGAGGGGAAAAGCTTTTAGTGCTGGTACTATTGCTGTGGTAAATGCACTTTAAAATACCTTTCCCTTCCTGAAGCTGGGTGGTGCTTTGAGCAGTACGTGGGGGAAATCCAAAGGGATACAGCCAGACTTCCCCAGGGCTGGATTGTTTTGGGGTCTGAGTTGCAGTTCTAGGCAGGGGGGAGTGGGAGGGAGAAGAGAGCGACAGATTTTTATTTTGCAGTCTTTGACGCCACTGAGAAGGGAAGTTCTTTTCCTAAAAACAACCTGCAGTTTGACAAAGCTTCCGCTTTCCTACAGCACCATCCATGTGGTCCAGGGAAGAGGTGGATAGATCCCAAATCATGCTCCTTATTTTCAGTTTATACCCAAATCTGTCCTGGTAACTCCTCTCCCCCCCACCTCGCTGCTGGTTTTTAAGCACAGGGGGGCTCGGGGGGCATTTGGATCAAGGGCTGGGGGTGGATGATTTAATGATTGACAACAAATGCCACTGAGCTCCTTGGGACAGGGAGAGGTGTGGGAGAGGCTCCCACTGGACAGGTACAGGCCAAATGAGGTGGAGGGCTGATTGCTCTAATCAAGCAGAAAGCCATCCTTGACTTTAATTGGAATTTTTCTCCTCAGTCCAGCTCGTTGGTTAAGTCCGTGTGACTGGGATTTGCCAGTTCTCCAGTTGTCCGTGGACTCAAGGGAGGTGAGGGTTGGATTTCTGGCTTACCTAGAAGTCTCTCCCTTCAGCTCCACACCCAGGGGCTGCGTGAGGAGCAGCAGCAGCAGCAGCAGAATTGACCAGCAGAGGGATTCAGTGGGTCACTGATAACAGATTATTTCACAGAGGAACAAAATCGAGCCTTTTCCCTCAAATTATCACCTCCAACAGATTCAGGTTTCCTGGCTGAGACAGCTTTTTCCTGTTCAAAATAATCCCATTTTCTTTTGGGTTGTGTTCCAGGTGGGATGTTTCCCCTCACGCTTCCCCTGAGACCCCATGAAAACCTGTATTTTTGTTGTCTTAGTGCTTATATCGTCTTACCTTTCTGACAATGGGATAAAACCTTTTAAATCTGCTATTTTTGTTCCTGCAGTAGCAATTCCAGCTTTAGAGGCCACGGTGGAGAGTGTTGAGTTGTTGGATGGTCTGAGCATAGGACATGGATTGGGGAATTTCAGGTTTGCACCTGAAATCTGTTACTCTGTGCATAATTTCGGGGAAGCTGCTTCACTTCTCTCCCTCACACTTCCTATGGGACTGCCATGGGGAAGGGAAAACATTCAGTGTGCCTCAGAGGGCTGGAATGCAGGGAGGATGACTCCCTAATATGTTTGAAAAGTGGAAATAGAAGTGAAAAGGATGTTTTCAAGAAGGTAGAAAGAGAAAAAAAGAGTCTGGCTGGAGACCCCAGGGCGTTGACAGACGTGCAATTTCCCTGATGGGGAGGTGAAACCTTAAATGTAACCCCCAGGACATGAGGACTGCTGCTTTAGTTAAGGTACTCTCTACCCTAATCGGCTCTTTAAGCTACTAGACAATGATAATTGCTATCAAAATAGAGATATTGCATCAATCAGCTTGGAAATGGCACAGAAATGAGCAGGATCCCTGCGGGGGGCAGGTCCTGGCAGGGGTGGCTGAGGCTGTACCCAAAACACTGTGTGGTGCTGAACAGACTCCCAGTGTCTGCCCAGGCACCACTTCCATCTCCAGAGGGAAGAGAATGAATTGTTTTGGTAGATGACAAGGGAAGAAACGGCTTTGTTTGTTTTTTTTTTTTTTAAGGCAGGTTTGATAATTTGAGAATAATTATAAATCGAAGGGATCAGCTCTTCCTGATGAGAACCAGCAATTCCCACAGCCTTCCCTGAAGGCACTGCGAGAGCTGAGAGCCTGAGCACTCGTGCTGGTCACTGACACTGAGGACATCTGACTCTTGTTTTGTTAAATTAAATGTAGCTGTGAAGCAGAACTGGGTTATGAACTTCTCAAACAAGCAGGTTTTAAAACCTGAACTCCGAAATTTATGATTAAGGCTTTACCTAACAGCAAAAGTAAAGTTTTGTGATTTCTCTCCTGCACACGAATGATTTAAAACAGCCTACCCAGGGGTTATGTGACAATGACACTCATTTCACAACACAGGCATCATTTTTCCATGGAATAAGTGCAGTTAACTTGGACTCAGTCCAATCAAGGGAAACATAAATGGAAACAGGAGAAATATGGAAAGAAGTGAGTTGAAGAAAGATTTGTTGTTATATTGTGTCATGTAAAGTGTCTACATACGACTAATAAGTATTTGAACAATTACAAACCTGGTAGAATCTCCCTTAAGGTCCCAACTTAAGGGTAGGTATCAGGGTTAATCAAAAATAGAAAAGCAATAAATTAATTGTAATTAAACCACCACTGTTAGGGGTACCTGAGAGAGTCTGAAGTGAAAGGACAGCATGGGCAGGCTGAGGGGTTGTCAGACGTGTCCTTAGACGTGACAGATCAGGGATGAAGCCACATTTTAGGTGGATAACTCCTTTTAAAGGGGAGTTTTCCCCAGGTACCGGCGTGGAGGAGATCAGTGACCATTGCTGAATTTAAACAGGATTCTGATCACATTTAAATGGAATTCTAATCTGATGGATTTTCCTATTAAACTTGTCCTGTATCATAAGCAGGACAAAACTCACCTGGAGAGATCGAGGTGGGCTCCACCCTGCGATGGAGAAACAATTCCTGGCCAGCAGGTGCTTCAGCAGCTTTTCTCTTTGGTTCTGCAAGGAAAGAGAAAAGCTTTTGAAAGCCTGGAACCCTTCTCAGGAACTGGCAGCAGCCTTGCAGTGGGCAAAGCCTCCTAAGCCACTGTCAGCACCACGCACGTACCCACAGGATACAGCAGTCCCTGCTCCAGGACAGTCGGAAAACCAGCAAGTCCTCCCAGCCTGATGCTCCAAGAATTAGGGATCCCGCCTTGGGATTCATTTAACAGGGCTACCAGGGTGGCAAAGAGTCCAGACCTTCGCAGGAAAAAGCCTTTAAAATAAACAAGATCTAGGGCTACTTCATTCCCGAGTAATTTTTATGTTTGAATTTTGGGTTGTTTTTAGCAGCTCGGTACTGGCCCTTGAGGAGGGGACAGCAGTGGGTTAACACATTAATATTCCTCATTGTAACTTATGTTGCTCTATCATTGCCTATAATAGCTTTTAAGCATGCGAGTGTTGGTGTATCTGTATCCTCCCTGGATGGGTTTAATGAGCTGAATTAACTGGGAGGGTTTTTTTAAAGGAATGTTCTGTACAAAGTTTTAGGTTGTTGTTTTTTGTTTGTTTTTTTTTTTCCCAGTAGCCCTTCTTTTTGCTGTGGATACAGGAGTCTCAAGTAGAGAACTTTCTAAAATAAAGTGTGAATATTTTTATTACTCCTTTGTACAGTGTTCTAAGAGAGACTAATAAAGTTAAGTATTCAGGTAAAAAACTTGTGGTTTGAGGCCTGGAATTTTCACGTGGAGGGGTTTTGCTGTGAAACAGGAATGGCAAATGAATCGTGGAATGGTTTGGGTTGGAAGGGACCTCAGAGATCATCCAGTGCCACCCCTTACCAATGGCAGGGACACCTTCCACTATCCCAGGTTGTTGGGGTTTTTTTAACTTCTCTCCTGTGTGGAGTTGCAGAGGGAGGGGGAGAGGGGAACGTGGAAGCTGTCAGCATTTGGAATCCAGGCAAGGTCAAACCCACTGCACTGTAGAAGTTCTGAGTTACACACGACCCCTTTAAGAGACTCGACTCAAACCTCCAGCCTTTCAGAGGAGGAGTTATGCCGTGGCTATTGTGTAAAAATGAAACATCGAGGAGGAAATTCCCCCACTGATTCTGCAGCTGAGAACAACAGCGGATAAGCTGCAGTGAACACCCAGGGATCCAACGCTGCTTCTGCCCCAGCAGGGGCTGCTTCAGGAAGCCTCCTCTCCGTTAACAAGGTAAGGGAAAGGACTTTACTCTTTGGGTCTGTGCTGCTTTCAGCTTCCTGGGCCAACTCACAGCTCCCTTATTTAGCAGAGGCTTCCTGCCCTCTGAGCAGAAGGGAAGGCAGAGACCTCTTCCCCAGTCCTGCTGCCCTGCAGGGCTCACATCCCCTCAGCAGCCCCCAGGCTCCTGATCCACAGGAGGCATCCACCAAATAGGTAAGTGCCTTATTCCAGAGCTTTGGGTGTGGCAGAGGCTTGGGGGAAGCTGTCTGTTAAGTGCTTTCCAAGGCAATGAGTCCTGCAAGTGCTACTAAAATTTGGCACACAGGACTGTTTGTCTTGGAGATGGATTTAACCTGAGAGACAGCAGGGTTCGATGGGGCATTGGGAAGAAATTTCTCCCTGGGAGGGTGGGCAGGCCCTGGCACAGGTTGCCCAGAGAAGCTGTGGCTGCCCCAGCCCTGGAAGTGTCCAAGGCCAGGCTGGATGGGGCTTGGAGCAACCTGGGCCAGTGCAAGGTGTCCCTGCCCATGGCAGGGGGTGGGACTCGATGGACTTCAGAGTCTCTTATGACCCAAGTCAGTCAGGCATTCGCTGCCTTTCCCTCCCCCAACACACCAGAAAAGTGAAACTGAAACTATTTTTCCTGAAATACAAGCTGCGTCAAATTTCTGACTCTCAAACACCAGCTCTCCCCTGCAGAGCACCAGGCTGTGTGCAGGGGGCTGGGCTGGACTGGGCTGGGCTGATCGCTTTATATTTTGGGGGAGATTTGCCCCCAGAATCTGCACCCTCAGAGCCTGCAAGCTGGGCTCTGTCTGCACCATGACTGGGCTTCATCAGCAAAGGGGGACGAGTCCAAACAACCCACAGCTCCTGCTGCTTCCTCTCCAAACGCTCCCTAAAACAACCCTCGGAAAGTTGTGTCCTTGGATAGTGTGGTGTATTTAGGTCATGATTTAGAAAAATTCTTAATCACTGCAGTAACATTTTGTTACTCATTTCAGGTAATTTGGCTTAACTTGCCTTGTCCCTTTCCCAAGGCACAAATACATGTGGCTGCAAAACTTCACCCACACCCAGCAGGATGTTTAAAAAATGCACCAGATACATTGTAAGTCAAATGGATCCAAACAAAGAACTGGTCCCTGTGGAGAGCATTGTAGACCACGAGCACTTCAGACTCTCCTGTCTTCTGATTAAAAAACGAAAAACCATATTCCACGGACGTCCCTGCTTCCAGTGTACAAGGTTTAGTCTGAGCAGTGTGCTGCTGCCTGAAGATGATAACGAAAGCACAGGTATGTCACAAATATCACACAAATATGTGAACCTGAAGTTCACAAATTCCACAGATAATGTTTTGGGGTCACTGGGGTCATGGCTGAACTGTCCCATGGCCCAGCTATCCTGTGGGTGAAATACTCACAGTGCTGGGTCTGTGCAATCCTGCTGAAGCAAATGCATGGAATCATTTCAGAGTCCCTCTTTCCCTCGGAAGATGGTCCAGATTCCAATCACTTCACTCTCACCAAGGTCACTGCTGACGAAGTCGATGGGAATCTCGAGGTTAATGTTGACCCTGCAAATGTGGAGCTGAAAGGAGGTGGCTCCGTGTCCCAGGACTTTTCCATCAAGATGCAGAAGAAGACCATATCAATGGACTCACTGGAGGCCCTGAGACAAAAAATGTAAGGCAGGACAAAGGCAGCACACAGGCTCTGGTCATCCCCACCCAAGCCATGCCAGGTCACACAGGGGGTGTTCAATAAAACAAGATTGAGGCCTTAGACAACAAATTCCCCTTAACCAGGACAGGCTGGGTGGGGTTTGGAGCCAGAATGTCCCCTCAGAGCCTCCTTTGCCCCAGGCTGAGCCCCCCCCAGCTCTCTCAGCTGCTCCTCAAATGACTTGTGCTCCAGCCCCTTCCCACCCTTTTTGTCTTTTAGAAAAATCAACATGGAGCACTCCTTCATCCAACAGCTCCAGAGGACAAATCTCAAATTGTTCTTGGTTTATGAAACCCTGGAAGCCTCAGAGGAGTTTGTCTACAGGGAGTCCACCAAGGCATATGGGAGGTTCCTGGCCAAGATTTACGCCAAGCTCTCTGGAAAGGTTTGGTTTCTGTCCAGGCTCAGGTGTTGGTCCTTCCCCAACACCTGCATCCAGGTGCTCTAACAGGTTGTTTTCCTCCACCAGGGCATCAGAGAGAACAGACAAAGCATAGTCATCCCCAAGAGCTGCACCCTGGCCTTCAGGACCATCCAGGTGAACATTAACAAGGGAGAATGGAGTAAGTAACTTCCAGAAATTACCAACTCCTCCATTTGGGAAATGGTGTGGAAGAGGAAGAACATTTTCCCGAGTATCACTCAGCCCCACAACCACCATCAGCTCATTGGCAAGGAGATGGAGGCAGTGGGAGGGACAGAACCCACCTGGGGAAGGTTGTACAACCCATGGAATGTCAAGGCTCTGTGTGGGAAAGCAGCAGTTTGGGGAGGGGTCAGTAGGGAAGGGCAAGAGGGACCCTGGAACTCTCAGCTCTACGTCTGGGGAGCTGCAGAGCTCCTGGTGATAAATGGCACAGACAGCAGAGTTTGGTTTGGTCCTTTCACATGTTTAGAAGTAAAGAGCCAGGGAGAAAACAGGGAGGGTGACCTTCAGTGGGAAGGCTGGGAAAAACACCATAAATGTCCTTTTTATCCTGTTGCAGATCTGGTTCATTTTAGAAGAGAAGTTTCTGAGATACCTAGAGTTCATATGGTTGGTAAGCAAAGTATTTTTCTGCTTCCACTTTCACAGTTTTTACCTGGTTTGAACAAGATGGAATCTCCCAGGATAAAACAAACCCCCAAGAGCGATGTGTTTGCCTGTTCCCTGAGACATGATTCTTGACCAAATTCCATCTTGCTTCCGAAATATTCACACCAGTGAATATTCACACTCTCAGTTTAGGGCTGCCACTGAACTCCTAGTTCAGTAGTGACATCTTTGGACTCTTTCTGTTTTCAGATTTCCCGTCTTTTGATTTACTAATACCAAACCCAGACGAGCTGGAAAAAGGAGTTATAAAATTCTACAGGTTTTTTTCCAAGCTGTCGTCTGACCTGCTGGTCATGTTCCTAAACACCATCATAGCTGTGATGAGAGACAGGAACCTCTTTCCAGAGCTCAGCCAGAAGGTAAGGAAAGGTTCTCTCACTGCCAGGATTTGCAAACACAGAGACATCCACGATCACACCTCTTGCCCCACAAGGCACCTGTGCCACAACACTCCAAAATTCCCTCACTCAGCACATCTGTCTGCTCTGGACTAGCAGCAGCCTCTGCCCTCAGATCCTGACCTTTCTTTTCCTTGTCTCCCCAGATGGAAGGATTTCTTGAGAAAATTGATGGTTATGAGCAGAAAACAGAAAGCCCAGACTTAAAAGACCTGTTGAGCACCTTAAAGAATTCTCCAAGAGATCATCATTGTCAGCTGGCAAAGGGAATAACCTACACCCTCGATGCCTTGGCTGATGAGGCTTTGGGTCGTAGTGGGGAAACTGAGGCAGAGCTGACTCCCTAGTCCTAACATCCTGTCCTGCTCCTGCTCCTCTTCCTTCCCAAGTGGAAGCTGCATCTCTAAATGATCACCCTTCTCATCCTGCTCACCCTTCCCATCCCACCCACTGTCTCAAACACCAGATTTCTCTGGCTGTTCCCCATTGAAAGCAGAGGGACAACTGGAAAATCCACGAGCCCAAATAACCACAGACCTGGCTGCTGTGCCTCACGTAATCCTGCTTCCCTAAAAACACTGCTGCTTCTGCAATTAATGAACAGGAAAGGGAAGGGCAAGGGAATGCCAAGGGAAAGGGAATGCAAAGGGAAAGGAAATGCAAAGGGAAAGGAAACACAAAGGGAAAAGGGACAAAAAAATGCAAAGGAAACAAAAGCCAAAGGAAAAGACCTGCAGTGACCCACTTACCCTGGTCCCTACTGTGGGTCTCGGGGGGCTCCGTGAGCTGCTGGTGGCACAAAGGGGGGTGGATCCCAGGGGTTTCACCGCCCCTTCCCTGGTCCCAGCGCTGCCATCGCCCCTGGGCTGCTCCAGGGACACGGGGCAGTGCTTCAGGTACAATTTAAATACTCTGATAATCGCTTTACAAATAAAGAGGAGCTACTTGCTGAGCAACCTGGTGTTCTGGAAGGCAACTTCTTTCCTTCCGTGCGTTTTGGGTCCCACAGCACATCCGACAACCTTGGGAGTGAGGCTGTCACAGAAATAAGGGCACATTTTGCCTCTTCCTAATGCACCCTTACCCCATGGAGACAACGAGACAGGGGGGAAAAGAATTACTAAAGCAAACCTTTTGCCATGCACTGGCAGAAGGGCCTCCCTAGACGAGATGGTCAGGGCTCTGCAGGGATCAGCGTCAGTCCACGCGACTCAGGCTGCAAAAGAGGGCACAGACTGAGGCAAGATCTGCAGGCCATGTCTTAACAGGGATGTATTTTCCGCCCAGGTCTGCAAAGTACGATTTATGATCCCACAGCCACTAACCAGTCACTGATACCACACTTGGCTTTTTACTTCCCATCTGCCACCTGAACTCCAGCCCCGAGGAATCCTGTGCTGCAGCGAAAGGCAGAAAGGGGTCCCAAAGCATCACACCCCAAACACAGATGTGACGTAACACCTGCAGGCCCAGCTCCCCTCAGGTCCTGGAGGGGTGGGCGGGTTTCATCTGCTCCAACTATAGAAGTTCAAGTGACTCACAGTCTTTGTAAAAAGTTTCCAACATTCTGACTCTGGCCAATCACCAAAGCCCTTTAGAGGAAGAGTTAAGCAACAGTTCACTGGAGTTAACAATGGTGAAGAGGAGAGGAAATCGCTCACATCTGAGAGGAAGTTGGGATAAGCTGGGGTGAACAGCCAGGGATCCTCCTGCACGGACTGGGTCTAACCCAGGGGTTGCTTCAGGGAGCCCCTACCAATTAACAAGGTAAGGGAAAGGACTTTACTCTTGGGGTTTGTGCTGCTTTCAGCTTCCTGAACCAACTCACAGCTCCCTTATTTAGCAAAGGCTTCCGGCCCTCTGAGCAGAAGGGAAGGCAGAGACCTCTTCCCCAGTCCTGCTGCCCTGCAGGGCTCACATCCCCTCAGCAGCCCCCAGGCTCCTGATCCACAGGAGGCATCCACCAAACAGGCAAGGGCCTTATTCCAGAGCTTTGGGTGTGGCAGAGGCTTGAGGGAAGCCGTCTGTTAAGTGCTTTCCAAGGCAATGAGTCCTGCAAGTCCAGCAGGGTTCGATGGGGCACTGGGAAGAAATTCCTCCCTGGGAGGGTGGGCAGGCCCTGGCACAGGTTGCCCAGAGAAGCTGTGGCTGCCCCAGCCCTGGAAGTGTCCAAGGCCAGGCTGGACAGGGCTTGGAGCAACCTGGGCCAGTGCAAGGTGTCCCTGCCCATGGCAGGGGGTGGAACTCGATGGACTCCAGAGTCTCTTATGACCCAAGTCAGTCAGGCATTCGCTGCCTTTCCCTCCCCCAACACACCAGAAAAGAGAAACTGAAACTGTTTTTCGTGAAATACAAGCTACATCAGGAAACCGGAATTTGTTTCTGGCTCTTAAACTGCAGCTGAGCTCCAGGCTGTGTGCAGGGGGCTGGGCTGGACTGGGCTGGGCTGATTGCTTTATATTTTGGGGGAGATTTGCCCCCAGAATCTGCACCCTCAGAGCCTGCAAGCTGGGCTCTGTCTGCACCATGACTGGGCTTCATCAGCAAAGGGGGAAAAGTCCAAACAACCCACAGCTCCTGCTGCTTCCTCTCCAAACGCTCCCTAAAACAACCCTCGGAAAGTTGTGTCCTTAGATAGTGTGATGTATTTAGGTCACGATTTAGAAAAATTCTTAATCACTGCAGTAACATTTTGTTACTCATTTCAGGTAATTTGGCTTAATTTGCTTGCCCCTTTCCCAAGGCACAAATCCACTTGGCTGCAAAACTTCACCCACACCCAGCAGGATGTTTAAAAAATGCACCAGATACATTGTAAGTCAAATGGATCCAAACAAAGAACTGGTCCCTGTGGAGAGCATTGTAGACCACGAGCACTTCAGACCCTCTTGTCTTCTGGTAGGAAAAGAAAAAAGAAAAACCATGTTCCACCAAGGTCCCTACTACCAGCGCACAGGGTTCAAACTGGACGATGTGCTGCTGCCTGGAGATGATGGAAAAAACACAGGTAAAGTCCAGATATGTGAACCTGAAGTTCACAAATTCCACAGATAATGTTTTGGGGTCACTGGGGTCATGGCTGAACTGTCCCATGGCTCAGCTATCCTGTGGGTGAAATACTTACAGTGCTGGGTCTGTGCAATCCTGCTGAAGCAAATGCATGGAATCATTTCAGAGTCCCTCTTTCCCTCGGGAGAAGGTCCACATTCCAGTCAATTCACTCTCACCAAAGTCACCACTGACCAAGTCGATGGGTGTCTCAGCCTCAGTGTCAACCCTGCAAATGTGGAGCTGCAAGGAGGTGGCTCCGTGTCCCAGGAGTTTTCCATCAAGCCTCAGACCAAGACCATTTCCATGGGCTCACTGGAGGCCCTGAGACAAAAAAGGTAAGGCAGGGCAAAGGCAGCACACAGGCTCTGGTCATCCCCGCCCAGGCCATGCCGGGTCACACAGGGGGTGTTCAAGAGCACAAAACCAAGACTGAGACCTTAGACAACGAATTCCCCCTAACTGGGCTGGGCTGGGTGGGGTTTGGAGCCAGAATGTCCCCTTGGAGCCTCCTTTGCCCCAGGCTGAGCCCCTTCAGCTCTCACAGCTGCTCCTCAAATGACTTGTGCTCCAGCCCCTTCCCACCCTTTTTGTCTTTTAGAAAAATCAACATGGAGCACTCCTTCATCCAACAGCTCCAGAGGACAAATCTCAAATTGTTCTTGGTTTATGAAACCCTGGAAGCCTCAGAGGAGGCTGTCTACAGGGAGTCCACCAAGGGATATGGGAGGTTCCTGGCCAAGATTTACGCCAAGTTCTCCGCAAAGGTTTGTTTTCTGTCCAGGCTCAGGTGTTGGTCCTTCCCCAACACCTGCACCCAGGTGCTCTAACAGGTTGTTTTCCTCCACCAGGGCATCACAGAGAACAGACAAAGCATAGTCATCCCCAAGAGCTGCACCCTGGCCTTCAGGACCATCCAGGTGAACATTAACAAGGGAGAATGGAGTAAGTAACTTCCAGAAATTGCCAACTCCTCCATTTGGGAAATGGTGTGGAAGAGGAAGAACATTTTCCCGAGTATCACTCAGCCCCACAACCACCATCAGCTCATTGGCAAGGAGATGGAGGCAGTGGGAGGGACAGAAACCACCTGGGGAAGGTTGTACAACCCATGGAATGTCAAGGCTCTGTGTGGGAAAGAAGCAGTTTGGGGAGGGGTCAGTAGGGAAGGGCAAGAGGAACCCTGGAACTCTCAGCTCTACGTCTGGGGAGCTGCAGAGCTCCTGGTGATAAATGGCACAGACAGCAGAGTTTGGTTTGGTCCTTTCACATGTTTAGAAGTAAAGAGCCAGGGAGAAAACAGGGAGGGTGGGAAGGCTGGGAAAAACACCATAAATGTCCTTTTTATCCTGTTGCAGGACTGGGATTTTTCAAAGTATGTTCTGCTGGACTTATACGTTACGAAGGTGATGGTAAGCAAAGCATTCTTCTGCTTCCACTTGTGAAACTTTTACTTGGTTTGGGTGAGGTGGAATCTCCCGGGACAAAACAAACCCCCAAGAGTGTTGTGTTCCCAAAGACATGATACTTGCCCAAATTCCATCTTGCTTCCAAAATATTCACACCAGTGTGTCACACTCTCAGTTTAGGGCTGCCACTGAACTCCTAGTTCAGTAGTGACATCTTTGGATTCTTTCTGGTTTTCAGGTCCCTCAGAAGTGGTGAGAGAAGTCGTACAACACTATGGGGTTTTCTCCAAGCTGTCGTCTGACCTGCTGGTCATGTTCCTAAACACCATCACGGCTGTGATGAGAGACAGGAACCTCTTTCAAGAGCTCAGCCAGAAGGTAAGGAAAGGTTCTCTCACTGCCAGGATTTGCAAACACAGAGACATCCATGATCAACACCTCTTGCCCCACAAGGCACCTGTGCCACAACACTCCAAAATTCCCTCACTCAGCATATCTGTCTGCTCTGGACTAGCAGCAGCCTCTGTCCTCAAATCCTGACCTTTCTTTTCCTTGTCTCCCCAGATGGAAGAATTTCTTGAGAAAATTGATGGTTATGAGCTGAAAACAGAAAGCCCAGACTTAAAAGACCTGTTGAGCACCTTAGAGAATTCTCCAAGAGATCATCGTTGTCAGCTAGCAGAGGGAATAACCTACACCCTCGATGCCTTGGCTGGTGAGGCTTTGGGTCTTTAGTGGGGAAACTGAGGCAGAGCTGACTCCCAGTCCTAACATCCTGTCCTGCTCCTGCTCCTCTTCCCTCTCAAGTGGAAGCTGCATCTCTAAATGATCACCCTTCTCATCCTGCTCACCCATCCCATCCCACCCACTGTCTCAAACACCTCGGGGGCAGGTTTTTGATCAGAGCTGGTTTAATTCTGCAGAGCTACTGGACGATCAGCTGCTGCTGCTGCTGGAATCCTTGGAAAGGAAGATTGTGTCCCAGCAGCTGAAGCTGGTGAGTACCCACATCACACTTGGTTCGTTTGAAGGGGTAACAGGGGGTATAAAGCATCATGTCCACGATGACATCACAATCTGACAGCTTGTTAAAACACCAATTCACCTTTTTTGTTGTTGCTGTGAAGGTTGAAAAACTCCTGGAGCACGAGCTGGAGAAGCCTTTCCGTGTGGACGCCAGGCTGCTCTCCTTCCCACGGCGGGAGGATCAGCGCTTGACCATGGCCCTGGTGGAGCTGAGCAGAGTGAAGCTCCAGGAAGATGGTTCAGCTGTGCCCATGGAACATCCCTTTGAGGTCATGGCTGCCCTGTACGTGGCCCTGTACATCCTCTGCCTCCTCAGTGGCCCCAAATAGGCGCCTGGCCCTGCCCAGGGTACTGGGAAACCTCTGAGCTACTTCTCTCCCCCAGTTTCATCCTTGTTAATGCTCAAGGCTGCTTTGGCTGGGAAAAGCAAACTCAAGGCAGGAAACTTCGTTATGGATGCAAAAGGCTGGATGTCAAAGTGCTGCTTCTGCAGTTAATGAACAGGAAAGGGAAGGCCAAGGGAACTCCAAGGGAAAGGGAATGCAAAGGGAAAAGGGACAAAAAAATGCAGAGGAAACAAAAGCCAAAGGAAAAGACCTGCAATGACCCACTTACCCTGGTCCCTGCTGTGGGTCCCGGGGGGGCTCCATGAGTTGCTGGTGGCACAAAGGTGGGGCAATCCCAGGGGATTCACCGCCCCTTCCCTGGTCCCGGCACTGTCATCGCCCCTGGGCTGCTCCAGGGACACGAGGCAGTGCTTCAGATACAATTTAAATACTCTGATAATCGCTTTATAAATAAAGAGGAGCTACTTGCTGAGCAACCTGGTGTTCTGGAAGGCAACTTCTTTCTTTCCGTGCGTTTTGGGTCCCACAGCACATCCGACAACCTTGGGAATGAGGCTGTCACAGAAACAGGGCACTTAGCTGGGCCTCCCTCTCCCAGTCCCGATCCCAGCCTGGCTCCTCACGGGACCCCCCACAGGATCCCTGGTCCCGATCCCTCACGGGACCCCTCACAGGACCCCCGGTCCTGGTCCTGGCCCCTCACGGGACCCCTTGCAGGACCTCCCACAGGATCCCCGGTCCCCCACGGGACCCCTCACAGGATTCCCAGTCCCGATCCCTCACAGGATCTCTCACAGGATCCCTCGTCCCTCACGGGACCCCTCACAGGATCCCTCACAGGATCGGTCCCTCACGGGACCCCTCACAGGATACCGGCCCCAGTCCCTCACAGGACCCCTTACGGGACCCCTCAGGGGATCCCTCACAGGATTCCTGGTCCTTCATGGGACCCCTCACAGGATCCCGATCCCGATCCCGGTCCCGGCCCCTCACGGGACCTCGCGCTTCTCCCCAGCGCCCGCGCCCCCAAGCGGGCGGGCACAGCCGCGCGGAAACACCCGAAAAGCTTTACGGAACCTCCCGAGCGGGAGCGGCGGGAGGAGCCGAGGAGCGGCGTCCGGAAACACCCGAAAGGCTTTACGGAACCTCCCGAGCGGGCTCGGCGGGACTCCCCGAGCGGCGGCGGAAAGGCCCGAGCGGCGGGCGGGAGGAGCCGATCGCGGCGGGGCGCTCGGCGCTCGGCCGGCCGCGCCTGGCGGCCCGTTGTGCAGTGTCACGCCATGAAGCAGGACGGGCCCCGCCGCCGCGGCGACAAGGCCAAGGCACCCCCCGAGGGACCCCCGCCCGCGCCCCCCGACGTCGAGATGCACGAGGAGGCGGCCCCGGCGGCCCCCGAGGCGGCGGGAGAGCGGCAGCCGCAGAGGGAGCTGGACGCGATCACGCTGGAGGGTGAGGGGGGGG